TGACAAGGCGCCGCGTATGATAATAAGCCTGGTTATGAGTTCATCTAGATGAGAATTGAGGCTTCAGGCTTCGTAATAAAGAATGGCTTACAGTGTGATTGAGAATGGAAAACTTGGCGCGCGGCAGTCAAGACTCGAGGTTGATGATTGCTTTGGGCAAGAATTCAGTTTAGTATTTACCGATGTTTTTTTGTGGAATTAACATTTTTGGTCTTTAATCACTCTTTCTCGAACCTCATATTTTTCTGAATGCCTGTTCAGCAGCAAAATTACATCTGCTGGGAATGCGGATAATTCTAATGGGAAACCCCCTTTCTGGGGTTTCTCATAAATTGTTGCTAAGAGACCCTTTCGGGACGCCGAGCGACGACTGATAGATAACAGCTTGACTGACTCGCACTGAGCACACACTTGACCATTGCAAAAGCGGAAGAAGTATGTATATATATTTAAATTAGTCTCAATGGCCTGGCCAATGTAAGTGTGTAAGAGATCTATGTTGTCGGATGACCTCCAAAGCCTCCTGAAACACCCTGCACATATGTTGTAGGCATATAAGTACCTATATTGCTCAGGATAACAGCTACAAAATACCTCTGCCAGCATTACCAATAGACTAGGCCATCAAAGCTAATGGATCCAAACACCATAAACATCTCCTCAAGACTATCCAATTCTTGAATCATTGAGCATCATCAGCAAAACCTGGGCGTGCTGTGGAGAACTGTGGAGTTCTCCACAGCACTCATAGCACTCATAGAGCCCATAGCAAGGGTACCCTTTGTGGAGAACTATGGATTGCTATGGGGCACTATGGACTGCTATGGATTTCCCGGGAACGTCGTCCATCAGGATATGTCAGGGTTTAATTTAAATTAAATATATTGTTCTTTTGAATTGTTTTCATCACTCGCTCGACCAAATGAGACCAAAATAAAACCATCATATTGTCATGTTTGTAGCACTAATAGGACAACACTGTAGCGAGACTAGAACTACATACTTGTATAACTAGTGTACACATAAATGAAGCCATACTGTAAGTGGCGATTGATGCTTAGAATTAAATGCTACAAACATTAGACACATCGAAACAAAGATGAAGGCTTGAATTTGGAGACTTACTGAGCAACTTGGAAGAAAAGGAACTTGGGGAAGTTGCGACGATGCATACGATTCTTATATAGAATTGGCGGGAAGAATGGCAGCTGTCAAGATGCCGAAATGAGTTGACAGTTGCCTCGAATGCTCGGTAACCTCATAGGAGCTCATAGGAGCTCATAGAAACCCATAGCACCCCATAGTTCTGTAGAGAACTATGGCTGCTATGATTTACTATAAGTTGCTATAACTTCTATGGCCAATACCCAGGTTTTGCTGATGATATACATGCTTATGTCAAAACAATGCTCAGTGCCTCTGCTGCTGAATTTGCATGCTCATATAGGTATTCCATCATTGCCAAGCAATGAGTTGGGAGAAATAGGTGGTGGCACGTTAGGATGTGGTTCAGTGAGGTTCAGTGAGTAGGTTCATGGGTAAGAAGGGTCTCTTGTTTGGCAAATCTTATCTCTCCGAGGGCCGGATAAATCTATTGAGAAACCCCCGTACTTGCAGAAACCCCGGGTTTCTGAGGAGCCCCTCTGAACTCTTGACATAGGGTTTTTCTGAGCCGGCCGGTGCTCCTCCGGGCGCCTAAGCCGTCATGGCTGCCGTTGCGTGCTTTTCGTCGTTTGTCGTTTCTTCCTAAGCGGATATCACCTTCCAGCTTCTCTCCTACTTCTCCGTTACTTCTCCGTTACTTCTTTGCTTGCAATGCAGTGGATCTCACCTTCCAGCTTCTCTCTTGCTCTGTTACCATCGCAATAAGCTTATTTTCTCTCACTTTTGTCTCATCCGCTGTATTCCACATCAGCAGTTTCGCAAAAGTATGAGTGCTATGGGAAGTATGGCATGTATAGAGGCCATACATCCATACTAATCCATAGCAAACTTCATTGATTATTCCATACTTTCAAGATATTCCCATACAAGTATGGAGAATGTATAGGATTGACCTATGACTGAGTTACTAAACTTATATACATAGTAGGTAATTTAGGTTGAAAATATAAAGGATGCATCCGGCTACATAGACCGCAGCACACTGATCATATTGATGATCTCCTGTGTTATAGATTCACAGAGGCCATTAGTGGAGTTGTTAATTAAAGAAATTTGGTAATACATATAGGCATATCGTACTCCTGCATGTTTGGAACAAGGAGTAGAAGCCATTTGAGATGACTTCTGAGCTCCCGTAGCACGTACAGTGGTAGGAAAAGAAATATTCAACAAGTCAATTGAATCTCCGATGTTCGAACTCCGCCGCTATATAGTTGCACGTGCATCAGTTTTTTTGGCGCTTATCTTTTCACTCTCAACCACCACCACTGCTCTTGGATGGTTCTATGCTTTTTTCCCTCTTCTTTCCGAATCTGTTGCGAACAAGCTCGGAATTTCAGTTCATTCTTGAGCCTCAAAATATACAATGGAAAACAATGAGTTGCCTCTCCATTTCTCAATGTTCATGGTGCGTCATTTTTTCTCCACCTCTGTGCCAGTCTGCTAATGCTTGCATAGTTTTTTTCTTTCCAGTCTTATTATGTATCCTTGTCCTGTGCAAACACAGTCATGCTTCCTATGTATTGTCACTTCGCTCGCATTTCAAATTCCAAAATCTGATGCCACGATTTGATTATTGCAGTCTCCTCAAGTTCCCTTCCCTTCGTTTGTCCTTCATCAACATCAACTGAGTTTTAGCTCCTTGCTCAACTAGTTCAAGAAGGCCTTGTTCCACTCTCATCTCGGAGTCATCGAATGTAGTATGCTATGGTCATCGCCACTTGGATGTTGCTCTAGCCTGATGTTCTAGCCTTTTGCATACTTCCTCAGTTTACGGTTTTCTTTGGGGACCTGCATTGGAAGTGTTATGTATGCTTGGGATTGCTGTAAATGGTAGTTGGCTGTCTAGGCAGTTGTATGTAAATATGTATTTTATGTATGTTTGCAATGGAGTTTGGCTTACTCATTCATACAAGCGTGCATTGGTTCAAGGTTCAAGGATATGTATGGTGTATGGAAACAGTGTATGAGACAGTGTATGGAGGTGGTACGGACCATATGGTGTCTTGCATACATTGAGTATGGAAACTTTGCAACGCCGTAGTAGCCATACATCACAACCATGTATGGAATTTGTATGGAGTGTATGGTACCATACCTCCATATGCCTGTGAAAGTGCTGATGCAGCCTCTGTTTCAATGTTCAGCCAGGTTGGGATTGCATCGAGAGCTTGAATAATTCTTATATTTCGAGCGGAATTCCTGAAGGGAACTCGAGCCTTTCCTTGACTCTCAGTCTACCAATGAGTGACCCAGAGATATTGCGTCTTAAACTTGCTGCATCCGAATACAGCACTCCATCGCTTTATGCTGCTTTCTCTGATGTTTTGTTTTGTCAAGTCACCTTCTCACGGGCCGGAAAATTATCTCTTCCTGTCATTGCTGCAAAGGGCATCGCGAGAGAAGGTAAAGCACAGGGTGGAGGAGCGAGATCAGGTCCAAGGCGGGCAGATGGTGACCGTTCTGCTGCACGCAAATGTGGTGCATGTCACGAGACAGGCCACAGGCGTAATACATGTCCCTTTCTTGATCCTCAATGCAACTTGATTTCTGATTTCTACTAGTACTACTACTTATTCTAGTAAGTACTGTAGCGCTCAATAAACAACCTTTGGCATTACTAAGCCGGCCGTGGACCGGTAGAGCAGGGGCTGCTGCATAGTCCGAGGGTTTCCTCTGGGGTTTCTGACAAGTACGGGGGTTTCTCAATAGATTTATCCCCAAGGGCCGGCCATCAAACCCTTGCCAAACTTGCCTTTTGTCCGAGGTTTCCAAAGAAGCCTGGGGTTTCTCCCAGAAAGGGGGTTTCCCAATAGAATTATCCCGGGAATGCACTCCCTCTCAAACTTTCAGAAGTTTTTGCTGGTTCACAAACCACCAAAATATTTATCATCATGACTTGTCCAATTCCAATTTGGATCCCAATAACAAGGATGAAATCAAATTTATTTATAAACCCATCCTTGTCTTACAGCTGTTTGCAAAACTAATGACACTTATCAATCTTGAGGAAATGATTCCGATTAAAAATAACTTCAAATTTTTCATGATTTTGCCCCTCGGAGGAAATCAAAAATACTTCCGGGGCCCCTGAAAACCTGAAAATGCAAAAATCCCAAGTCATTTTCAATTGAAATCATTAATTCAAGATCAAAGCTACTTACTGTGTAAAGCTATGTCTCATGTGTGCGTGAGACTTGCTTCAAGTTTGTTGGGGGCATAACACAGGCTGTTCACTCAAGTGGGGGATCAAAAGGTAGATGTTATTGTTGTACCTAGCATTAGTGTATATACAAAAACATCAAGCTTCTGCCAAGCTGGCGTATACTAGTTACTAGGTAACACATTGAGTCTTGGTGAGACTGGGACTCAGTAGATAAGTAATTCATTTGGAGCATCAGCAAAACCTGTATTGACTTTATGAACAAAGGTAAGTACTATAAGCAAGTCTTGTCAACTCCAAAGGACTTGTTGCAACTCATACACATATAGATGCATGTGAGGCATGACAACTGTCATTAGTTTGCAAATAGCTGTAATGGTAAGTTCCTTATCAAAGCAAACCTTTAATGAGTGGCCATGAATTGTGAATTGTGATTTGTACTTGGGAGTTAGTCTTAGTTAGATTATAATTTCCTGCGGCAAAGCCTATAGCAACAAGAGTAGAGAGTCAAGAATGGATGGTGAGTTGATACAGATGTTAAAGCTGTTTAATCCAAAACAAAACAAGAGCAGGTACACCAGGATCAAGCTGGACCAAGGACGAGAATTTGAGTGCTTATTCCACATGCATGTCTGCCAATAAATTAACAATCCAGCTTAGCTTTATCCAACATAGCTCAATGGCATAGTTGGTTATCACATCTGTCTAACATGCTGGTTGTAGACTTGCGCACAGAAGGTCCCCAGTTGGAGCCCAGGTCAAATTATTGAAATCTTTTTCATTTTACTTATATCACCCACTGTATGCTTTCAAGTTAAGCCAGAAAAGCACCCTGCTGTGTCCCTTTACCTTCCTCCATCTCTGAATCTACTCATGGATCAAGCCCAAACATCACTACCTGAGAGGAAAAAAAAACAATAGGATAAAAAAGTGAAAGAATAGCACGAACTTGGCACAAACAGATGCAGAGCAGGTAACTAGGTATGTAGAAGATACATTCAAGCAAGAAAAAGTTGCAGTCATACTATAGATGCCCTAGAAATGCGAATGCTTCCAGAAATGCAAATCATAGAGAAAAACCTTTCTCCTGCCCTCAATTTTGAATCATTTCCCTTGAGAATTATACTGTGCACAGCTTGATCATATTTTCAAAGGACTGTGTATTCAAAATTCTAAGCCGTGCAGTAGAAAGAATTCAGGATTTTCAAAGTGCTGAAAACCATGGTTGCATGCAGCATGACTTTTGAATTAATTTTGAGAGTAAAAAAAATCGGACAGCTTAGTGGTCTAGATGCTATCAAGATATGCTGGCTACTGGTAGACTGGATGGCTTGATGTGGTCAGAAAGCGCAAGGGAAGTCTTAGAGTTTCCCGAGGTCCAAAAAGTCAAGGGTTTTGAGCATGCTTTGGCATCAACGGCACCATGACTTTACCGCTCAAGTCACTGGATGTCACGTTTGCACTTCCCTGCTATTTTGGAGGTCGTCGTTGGCAGCTTCTGGCAACAACTCAACACTCACTAATTTTTCAAACTTTCTGAGGATAGTCTTTGAGATAATAGGTATGTGCTCTGAAAATCTTAGAGCTTCCGGATAAGAATTGCGGAAGTTTTTCTATACTGACATTTTGATTCACATTACTAGGTTAGCTATAGTACTTAGTACAAATCAAGCAGTGGGTGTCACACTACCAATAATTATGCTTCGGCTTGACTGAAGGATAGTGTGAAATGAATTATTTCTGTACCTATGTGAAATTTACTTTTTTGGACAAATATGGAAGAATATTATTTCGATAGACTGATGAATGAATGAAATTCCTACCTTCCAAATTTTTGAATTTATACTAATTTCCAAAAGAATTTTTTTCAATTAAACTCTTAAAACAATAATTTCAAGACAGACTGAATGCTTTCATTTCACAATAAGAATGAAAGAAATTGCTTCGAAGAACCCTTTCAGCTGGTTCCCAAAAGACAATACTTCAATTTCGGACTGGACTGGGCCACTGCCAAACCAGATGGTGAAAGGCAACCTTTCAACAGAAAATTGAATTGTTCTTTGAAACAATGAAACAATTACTTTCACTCTTATTGTGAAAGCAGAACATTCAAGTCCACATTGAAACTATTGTTTTTGGAGCTCAAGTGAAAATGCTTCTTTTGCAAGTCAGTGTAAATTCAAAAATTCAGAAGATAGGAATTTTATTCATTCATCAGTCTATTGAAATGATTATCTTCCATATTTGTCCAAAAAAGTATATTTTGCATAGGTATTGAAATAATCTATTTCACACTATGCTTCAGCCAAGCTGAAGCATAATTATTGGGGGTGTGTGTTACAGTAAATTTACCCTTGTCATAACCTATATTGTCGAGTCGCGAGGAGACCTAGGTCCAAACAACCCAGGACTGATAAGCAACGTGGATTCGACAGACGGGGAGTCGGTGCCAGAGCCGGATCAGCTTTCAAAAAAGAAAAGAAAAAAGCGGTAATAGTCAGCACCTTCAGCAATATTTATACTTAGTTCGAAACTTCCACTCACGTTGCCAAGTAGCCCAACCTCTGACTAACCGTTCCAATATCCTGTTGAAGCAGCGGTGCAGTCTTCTTCTTTTGATTACGAATTCGCTGAGTGAATGAACGCCAGTCAGGTTGTGCCAGGGGCACCTCTGGCGGAACCGGTAGCTCAGGTGGTGGTGGTGGGTCAGCCGGAGGTCCGCCGGGTGCACCGGGTGGAGGTTTCCTGTATCAACAAAAGAATAATAGTTAGTTTCAAAAGCATCAGGTTTGGAAAGGAACGCACCAATCCGGTTCAAACTCCTTCCGCTCGGCCCTCTCGCGCTCACGTGCGTTGGCCTCTGCCTCCTCGGACTGCTTCTTGGCCTCGAGCGATGCACGGAGTGAAGCAACCTCCTCTTCTAATTCCCGAATTCTGGAGTCTTTGAGTTCTTTAGGAGCTTGGATAGCGGTATCTCGTTCGGCTTCAAGTTCTAATCGCTCTCGTTCAGCAGTCGCAGCCTCTTGTTCTCTCGCGTTCTTCTCGCGCTCCATATCAGTGATTTCCCAAATCTCGGGTGAATATCTCGAAGGCGCATCGCGGATGTCTTGCATAGTGTGAATAGAGTTACGTTCCCAAAGATCTTCCGTGACACCTGGAACAGCGGATATACTTCCTGCTGCTCCAGCAGGAGGTACAAGTCCAAGACCACCAGCAAAGTCGTGCAACGGCACTTCTCGAGCCTCAGTAGCATCGCGTGCTCGTGCTTCATTTTCCTGGAAGATTCTCTGACGGTCTTGTTCGCCCTCACGGAAATCCTGTTCTCGCCGTCGTTCATTGTCCTGGAGCACTGCTTCGGGCTGGCGTTCTACCTCCCGCGCACCTTCCGCGACCTCGCTGAGTCGGTGTTCGACGTCATATAGACGTGCCAGTCGGTCTAGTTCTTCTTCCGCTTGAGAAAGATCATCGAACCAGGGTGAACGAGTCCTGGTCTTGGAAGGAGAAATGGGGGCTTCGTGTAATGTACGTTTGTCTTCATTGCGCAGAGTGGATCTGCCATCATCTCGCGGAATACGACCTTGTTCTGCTCCGCGCACCGTATGCCCATCATTGTCCCGCATAGTAGGGCTATTATCATCGAGCACGGTGCGAGTACGTCTAACTGGATGACCGTTATCATCAAGAACTGTGCGATCGTTATCCTTCCGCACAGCAAGGCCATCGTCATCGCGTACAGTGCGCAATGAATTGCTTTTTGTTGAACTTTCAATCACTGGTATAGCGTTCAACGTGCCCTTATCACTAGCTACAAGCTCTAATTGAGCTATTGTTGATTGATCTGGCCTCTTAGTGACATGGTCCATATCCAAAAGGTGATTTTTGGGCAGAGCTCCATTTGGAATACCAAACAAGGCTTCCTCCAACTGTGTCGCTTCATTGTGTTCTCCAAGGGCCCAATACATCGCTGCCAGGTCACTCTTAAACTTGGGAGCTCCACTGTCTCTGCTTCGCAGTGTGTCATCTTCTTTCTGATATACCTCCAAAGATGAGCCACTGGTAGCTGTTACATAAGAAGAGACTTCCATGATGCCTTCTGGATGTCTTTCATGATCTGGCTGTGGAGCTGCATCATGAAAAACCAAGGGGGATTGTTCATACTCATGGAGCTTTGTGTCTTCATTGCCTTCTAAGACTTGACACATGGATATTAACTTCTTTTCGCAGCTCAATGTATCCAAGTGTTCTTCTCCTAGAACTCGTTTGGACATTAAAAATAAAGTTCCTTGAAGAAGGACTGCTTCTCCACGGCGGCCTATGACCCAATATTTATCTACCAAGTTTTTTGTATGAGCTAAAGTGGTGGGATTCTCATGTCCCAGAGTCCGCTTTGACATTTTAAGCATAAGCTCTTCGTGAAGCTCACCAGTTTGCCATTCCAAAGCCTGAAATGTTTTCACTAGTTCATTTTGATACATCAATATATCTGGGTGATCTGCTTCCAACACTTGCTTGGATGCTTTGTATAAAGATTCTTGGAGATGCAGCGCTTCCTTATGCCGACCTTGGGAGCGATATATCCTGGCAACATTGTTTTTGCATTTCAAAGTTTCTGGATTTGCCTCCCCCAACACTGAGACATATGTCTCAATCAGACTCTCCCATAGTTCTAGTGCTTGCTTGTCTTTACCCAAAGCATGATATGTGGATGCCAAGTCATTTTTGAATGTTATTGTTTCAATGTGTGAATCTCCAAAAATGGCCTTTGAATGATAATACAATGCCATATGAAGAGGAAGAGCTTCATCAGATCTCCTTAAACACTTGTATGTTGCTGCCAAATTCTTTTTGAAAACCCAAAAGTCTGGGTGATTCTCTTCCCGGCCTTCCATTAAGAATTCTCGAAAGGGAAGAGCCTCATCATATCTAGCTAAAGCATGATAGGTTTCTGCTAAGGTGTTTATAACAGCCAGAGTGTCGGGATGATTTTTACCCATCATTTTGGCTGATGCATCCACAAGTATCTCATCAAGGGGAAGTGCTTCAGCATATTTACCGATCTTCTTATATGTTAAGGCAAGGTCTTTTGGTGGAATTCCAAAGTGTCTGGATGATCTGGCCCAAAAACTTGTTTCGACAACTGAAAGAATGTCTCTTGTAGTTCAAGAATTTCACTGCTGCCTATCTAGAGCTTGATATGTTGAAATCAAGTTTTTCATACAACTTAAAGTGTCTAGATGCTTTTCACCCCAAGTTTGCTTTGCTGTTTCAAATGTGGCCTTCTGTAGATGTAATGCCTCGTTTCGCCGACCTAGAGCAAAATAGGTTGCAGCCAGCTCATTTGTTCGTTTGAAGGTGTTAGGGTGTTCATCACCAAAAATCTCCTTTGATGTTTCAAGTAAAGCTTCCTGAAGGTGCAATGCTACATTCGTGCCTGCCCAGGCTTTTATGAGTCGCTGCCAGCTCATCCATGCTGTCCAAGGTAATTGGATGTCTGTCCCCTAAATTACGTTGGAAAGTCTCATAAAGAACTACCTGAATGTTTCAAGGCTTCCGTGTGCCTCCCTAATGCACGATACATGTTTGCAAGCTTCGAGAAGCTCCTGCATTGAATTCTGCAGTTGAAGTGCTACCTGCTGTTTGTTTGAATCCTGATGTGTTGATTTTAAGGCTTCAATATACCTCAAAGTCTCTGGGTGATCTTGTCCAAAAATCCGCTTTGAAGTCTGCAGCTGAGCCTCCCGAACACCCACGGCTTCAGTGTATCTG